CAATCAACACGATGGATACAGAGAAAGAAAAAAAGACGAGAAAAAGTCTCTTAGATTTATCGGTAGTACTAAAAAAGAGAGAAGAAGAAAAAAAAATGATACCTGCTAATGTTGAACAGAAAAAAACAGATCTTCATTCAATAATGAAACACAACATAAGCATTCTTATATAAATATGTGATGGCAATTTTTTTTCGCCTTGTGTTGTCATTCATCAAATAGCTGCAGCTATGTGTATTGAAAGTTGCTTCTCTCTTACATGCCGTTAGCAATCGATAATCATAATAATAACTGAAAGGATGTTTACATTCTTTCGTTCATAGTCGTATGCTTCATAATAAGCAATCCATAAATAAGAGGAAATGAGTCGACATGCAAAGTCATCATATAAACTAAACAAAAATTAAACAGGCAATCTCATCATCATTATCATTAAAAACAAAAATTGATGTTATCATTACAAGTGCACGCATAAAAGATATTGATCATTAAGGCAATGATGACAGTCAATTGACACAAACTTAATCAAGTTCTTTGGCTCAATTCTGCAAACAATATAATTAGTACTCCTCTCAAGTTAACCTTTTACGCTTCTATATACATTACTGAAAGTGATGAACTTTACGATATAATTGTCCATAGAGGTTTTCATTTTCTTTTTCTAGAATGTCTACTGCCATAGTCAGAGTAAGTAGTACGAAAAAAAAAGAACAGGAAAAGAATGTTACGTATTAACACTTTGGTGTAGGGTGATAAAAAGATCAAAAGAACGAGAAAACGGTTATTTTATAGCATATTACATCATATGTTATCTTAATCAAAAGAAAATACCAATAAATGATAGTAATAAAAAAACTGAAGCATAAAATCTGAAGTGATGATAGGTGTTTTTTTTTCTCATATTGGTGAGAACAAACTATACAAGAATAAGTGCAAACACTTGTATTGTGATCGATATTTTAAGTTAATTGTTACGTTTATCCATCTCTATTATTATTTGACATGTTTTCATCTTGAGTATATACAACAAAATAAGATTAATGTAAGAGTTATTGAGCTTATAATTATTACATTAAGCGAATTAAGTATATATATATATATATGCAATACTCAACGAGTATCGTAAACAGATGCTTTTTATCATATGATTATGAACTCAACATTAACTTAGTTTGTTTTATTGTTGTGGTTTTTACAATAAATCGATGAACGTTGACAATTAAGAAACAAATTATCCTTTAAAGTCAATATATCACTGGATTTCTTTTTCATAAGAAAACAAATCAATTTAAAATAAGATAAATAAATATCAATGGGTTGCTTTAAACAAAGCAAGAAAAAGACATTAGAATGTTTGATGATCTAACTTATTTCCAGGCGATTAGCACCTTCTAACACATTCATAGTCCATATGTTATCCATTTTTCTTGATACCGTGAGAAATGATTATAATGCATAACATCATAATTGACCTTTGCTGACATACTCAATGTTGAATAACAATCAACAATCTTAGTACATCATTTTACTTTCATCTTTTCTGTATATTATTTAGTAATCAATGTACAAAATTCGACCGGCTGTTGTGTAACAAAAAAAGTGAAGGGATAAAAAAAAGAAAGAAATAGTTATAAGTATATACTTATCTTCATATCTATCAGTAGAAAAACGAATAATTCATTTACTTAAAGCAATCACTACATATGTAGTATCTTCTCTATGTAATACCTAATTTTTTTTTATTCGAATAATTGAATATTTGGATTTATTTTGTTGATAATTATAATGTAGTTCATCGATAGATCTCATGTACAATTGTTTTTAATTCAATGAGAAATTATTGCATATTTTAATTCATGTAGAAAACATTTCTCTTATTGATTTTATATGCGTAGACTTGCAGAAAAATTTAATCTTTGATTTTCGATACAATTGTTATGTCCATTACTTATATGATTTAGGTTATTTTACTGTCTTTCTATCTTTTGTTAAAGTTATATAAACAATAAATAGAAATCTTCATAGAATATTTTTTAAATTCATGTATTCATCACAAACATAATCTTTATTCTATTTGTTATGTTCGTTTTTTTTCCTACATTGAGCTTCTAATTCATTCGTCTATTTTAGTATCTTGAAACATTAGTTGATGTCAAATTCATTTATAACTAATCTAATATAAGATATTATTTGTAACATGAGATCACATATGTTTCTTACCTTTATTTGTATTAATGAGATTTACTGTTGGTAGATGCTATCATCATATATTATGACGAACGTATAGTTATAATCTGAAGGATCATTTACTGTAATAATATAAGATATGTTTGTTAGTAATAGATAATCAAAAAGTAATTAAATAAAATGTTCATTCATTTTTTCGCCTTTTTATGGTGCCTACAGAAATTTGAAAAAATTGCGTTAGAACCAGAATTTTGTATTTTCTTTCTGCATATGAGTTCAAAAATTTTGCGAAGTCTTTCTTTTAGAAGTTATGAATCGATCTTTTAGAGGTTCATAAATTAAGTTTGAACGAACTTCAGCATGTCAACAATTACTCAAAGTCAAAGCGAAAATTTTTTTTAAATACAGAGAATGAATGAGCACACATGTCTCTATAAAATGGTATACTAATGATTAGTTTGCTGTAGGCATCTTTCGATACTGAATATTTCCAGTAACGAAAACCGAATCCATTTACACAATATTCTCGATTTCTATGAAAAACAAATTGATAAAGTGAGCTCGGCTATTCCTGAATGATTTTTCTAAAACCCTTGAGTCTTATATTAGTTTTTAAAGAATAATCTCGCCTTCAATTCAATGATAAAAGAGCTGTTAGCACAATCCCCATGGAATTAAAATATGAGACACGATATAGCTATTATCTGCATTCTCAAGGAAACAATTGTCAATATGTGTGTCACAGTTCGTGGAACGGGGGAAAAGAAGTACAAATTTCTATCTCTACACTCCTTTTAGATCATGTTCCATAAAAATCGGTAATATAATGTGTGCAGTAAAGAATACTATTACTACAAAAAGCATGAATTTTCTCCGTTCAAATTTAATTTTTGTATCTCTATAAGTTCAACTAATAACTCGTGAGAAATTTTAAACCTATATTCGAAAAGAATACAAAATTTTAACTATCCAAATGAACGATGTTATGTAGACTTTTCTTTGTAAAACAATGTTAACAAAAAAAATCATATTCTTCATTTTCATAATTGACAAACGATATTGTTTGACAAAGAAAAAAAGAAACTCAATTTTAAGAAAGTTATGAACATGAATATTGAAGTTTGTATTCAAGATAGCCTTCGATGAAAATGTTACCATTTCATTCTAGATTCTACTTATGGAAACTGATATTACAAAGAGCTATTAACTTCTGTGTATACAGTTGTTATTTTTTTCATACATCCAACAAGCAAGATATGTCATATGTTTTGAAGGACCTATAACTGCTATCATGCTTGCATAGTTTAATGTAGTTCTTAAAACGATAAAAATAGGAATGTACAGTTTTGTACTGAACAGTGTAATATTGACGGTGAGGACGCTGAAACTCAGGTCAGTGTAGCAATATTGACATCAACCCTAATTTCTGTTCACTACAATCTATATACAAAATATTGTACTTTACAACGTAAATTGAGGTCAGTGGAGGTCAATGTCAGTGTATTGGTGGCTCAGTGACACTGCTGACCGGTATGCCGACACCGCACATCCCTAGATAAAAAGTAAAAACAAATTTTTATTTTGCAATATCAGATTAGACAATATATAATTATTATTAATCTTTGTGAATAAGATGATCTATATACGTATCATGATGACATCAATTTTGACTAGTGAATAAAAGTAATTCGAAAACCGAAATAAAATTCTTGTAAATGTTTCTGATAATAATGATTGTATATTGATTATCATTTCCAGTAAGTGACTTTCTATCAAATATTCTCTTGAGAAAAGTAATGACTTGAAAAACATTTCACAACTTTTTTTTTTCTATCAAAATGTATGTCAATCTTTTAATCTAATTCTCAGAGAGGTATTCGTTTAATGCTTAACTTTAATATCATTTAAACTATCGATATGATACTGTTATTTCTATAGGATGTCCAGTGAGTCATAAAACAGACACACTAAAAATTGAATATCTCCATTATAGCTCGACCAAACGGACTCACTTTTTTTTACCAAGGATAGAGGCATGTTCACAGTTCAAATTCATACGGACAAGGTCAGTGAGAATCTTTGTTAAATACCACTATGGATCTCAATAAGAAAATTTTACTTGTTTACGGGTCGGAAAAGAAAACAATATGCTCACTATAGGTTCTCACTAATGTCGTTCATGCGAATTTGGAGTGTGAACATGCCTCTATCTTTGGTAAGAAAATCAATTCGTTTGCTCAAGCCGTAATGCAGATATTCAATTTTCTTTTCTGATAAAGTGACTTTTGCACTATCCTATATATTGTTTTTTTCCTATCTGTGAACAAGTAAAATTTTCTTGTTGAGATCAATAGTGGTATTTAACAAAGGTTCTCACTGACCTTGTCCGTATAAATTTGAAGTGTGAACATGTCTCTCTCCTTGGTAAAAAAATGAGCCCGTTTGGTCGAGCTATAATGGAGATATTCAATTTTTAATGTGTCTGTTTCATGACGTACTGGATACTCTATACACTCTAGTAATTTTGTTTTTTATTTTTCTACGATAACGATTTACATTGTATATGTCCGTACTATTGATTATATAATATATATTCAATATTCAATTATTTCAATTGTCAAGAAATATTTTCGTACAAATATACAAATAAAAAAAATGAATAGGGTATGAATACGGTCTCGATTGTTTTCAATCATGTAAAAAACAAAACAAAAAAAGGATTATTGAACAAAAGAAACAAAGAAAAAGACAAGGAAGTATGTTCTATTATATTTTTAAATGTAATTATGTATTGAATGGAATAATATTTATAATTAAAATCGACCAAGATCAACAGGTAGATTAGCCAAAGCTTCTTCTTCTGTTGCTTCATCAAATGTACCTTTTCGTTTTTTACTACAAACAAAAAAGACAAATGATGAAGCAATTAATTGAATAAAAATGAGCCAAGCTAGAATATAACAAACACCATACGTATGTTTCGTACCGGGTGGATAAATATTGGGTAAATGTGCACTAGCATGACGAAATATAGTACTTAATGCTTCAATGCAAACGAGAAGAGAAACAGCTATAAAAATAACAATCAAAATTTATGTCATTAAAACTATCTTTTATTTTTTTACCAGTCACAATATATATCATCCCTGTTAATCGTTTATATGTATATCGATATTCACGAATACTATATAAACCACAAATAAATGTAATTACTAATAGAAGAATATGAATAGCACTAAATGAAAGCATTGTACGAATCATTCCTATAATTCAATATAAAATGAATTTATTCTAAAATAAAAAACAATAACAACAACAACAACAAATAAATCATACCTAGTAGAGTTTGTTCAGTTGATGAAGATACATTTTGAACATGATTTTGATGATAATCACATTGATTTTCTACAAAGAATAATATTACAAATATCATATATAGATAATGTCATATCTTATATCTCGATAGTTAATGATGAAAGTGTCAACAATATGTTATATCCTTGATCTTCTAATAAGCTTACTAGTAGTAGTTTAAGAATGATATACCAATAAAGCATACTTACCATACATAACATCTGGTGTTGGTCGACCAACTACACATTCCCAAATGACACCATAAGTAGCTCGAACAATGTATAGATTTTGTTTTTTAGAAAAGAAATCAGGTGGATAAGTTATAACTATCCAATAACTTGATGTAAGTATTATTGAAAAAGTAATAAATGAAAGAACTGTAACAGCAAGTGTTATACGCATTAATTGAATATTTCGTTGGATAACTGCTTGTGCAGCTGAGACAGTTGTTCCAGTTGTTATCATGTCGCTTTTGCCGTGATGATTTTTCTTCATAATAGTAATTTTTACGGTTAGAAAGATTTATTCTAAGTTATTTCTTATTTGTTATATTCAATAAAACTAATAATAATAATAATCCAGATATAAGTTATTTGTCAGCGTCAAAATAGAAATCATAGTAGTAGTAGTAGATCATGCTACGCAATTCATAAGTTGATTAGATGAATAAGTCAGAAAAAAACAAGTAAAAATGATCTTAAATAAATAAACAAAAGTAAGAATGATTTATTTGGTGAATTTTCAATAATGATTGAAAAGGAATTTTCGATTTACTTATCATTGTTTTCTACTATCGGCATAGTTTTTCTCAGTTTTGCTTAATGTACAAAAAAATATCTGCTATAACAATATGTTAGTATGCAATCAGATAAAAAGTAAACAGAGAAAATTCTTTCCATGCTGCTTCCGAACGATGAAAAGATAAGAGGAAAGAAAGCAGTAATCAGCAATATGTTGGATAAACGTCTTCTTTCTGGTACAGAAAAAGCTAACAAGACATAGTGTACTCTATAGCCGAAGAAAAGAAATAGAACACGAACGACGATCAATAGGACCAGTTGTTGTTTCTTTTCCTTATATAATAACAATAAGGTTAATGCTGCTAAAAATATCTCATCGATACCTAAGTAACAGTGTGCTCTTCTACATTTATGATTGTTGAGTGTTGGCATTGATTCCAATATTTGTTTTATTAGTCCTGAAATAAAAGAAGAATATCACGAGTATAAAAATCTCATTATCATTGACAGAGAAGAAATGTTGACGTAAACTTTTCGATTTTCTACATAAAACTAAACTTTAAAAAATCCAAATTCTTTATATGTAAAAATATCGTACCAAGAATTCACCAACTCTTCTTTATTATTCTAATAATTCGACATAAGTATAGTACTGAATGATAAGTTAAGCTTTTTTTGCTTTAATAAAATAATCATTAGAAAAGGTTCAAATTTAAAACACGCAAAACCGATCATTATCTATAGCATGAAAAGAAAATTCTACAGATTAAACAACATTTATTATAACTTATCTTCTTATACGTCTACCATTCGATTGCCTTATTCACATCACCATACGTCTGAATAATCTTCTAAATTGACATTACCATTATATGTTGCTTGATATGGACGCTCGATTATTTTCTAATATTAGACCGTATTTTCTTGTGACATTTCAAATACTCTACAAATATAATTCTGGCTATCGAGTCGATGCCTATTTCATCATTAAGACCAAATATTATTTGGACCTTTAGCTTTTCCTTCTTCATTAGCAAAATAGAAAATTGGAAAAGTCTCAATTGAAAGTGACCCTTAATACAATTTTTTTCCTTTGAATAATTAAACTCACGAAGGTGTATGTGCGTATTTAATTTTATTAGCGCATTTCTATTATTAAATTTTAATTGTATAACATAGAGATCTGATAAATTTTGTTTATATTCAAACACTTATATCCAGAACATTAAACTATAGATAAACAACATTAATAGCGCTACATTTAATTTGAAGGAAACATTATTATTGTCAAGAGACAAATACTTGTGAGAAATATAAAAAGAGTTACATACAAGAGAAGAAAAATTATCTATAGATCAATGAAAAATAAGTGTATTATTGCAGCTGTTACTTAACCTTAAAAATAAATGAAATAGATTTTTAATGATAACATGCACCACTTATTTCAATCTTCTCATGTTTGAATTTTTAGTAAAAAAAACAAATTTCCGTTTCTCATCTTTATTCTTTTTTTTTGTTTGTTGTTGTTGTTGAATATTTGTCTGACATTATCGTAAGAAAAAATAAATAGTAATTATTATTTCATAAATTAGAATATATCGAAGTAAATATTATTTTAGTCATTAAAAACAAACAGTTTTTTTATAAATTAGATTTTGTAAAAATATTTTTATTGATTAGACTAACTGATTTATTATTTAACAAGACAGATATTAATCAAAAACATCGACGGATAAAATCGTCCGAGAATAATAATCATTCCTTATTTTTATTTTCAAAAATGTTCACACCAATTTAGAGGAAACTAAATATATAAAATGACAGTTTTGTGTAAAGGTATATCTGCTTGACAGTCGCAATATATTGAAACTATTAGTTTGGATAGAGTGACACGCGATGTCATTGTATCTATTATTTTTTTTTTACTTCTTATATGCGAGAAATAGATGAGATTTATGTCACAAACTTTTCCGATTGATTAACGAAGATTGGCATGTTTTGTTAAGGTCTGTTGCCTATCACCTTTTCTTTGTAGGATAATCGTTCTCAGTAAAAAAATTTATTGTTTCTGTCATTTTAATGGTTACTGATTATTCTATGATCAATCACTTATTCTAATATTCTCCAATATCATTATCTGTAATTTTAAATTTATTCAAAAATAAAAATAAAAATAAGCATTATGATAAGTTGAAGCAGAATTGTAACCGATAACGGTAAACGGCCGGTATGAACTTTGATTTAAGTTTTTACATGTTATTTTTCTCTCGGATAATTGAGCATAATAGTGTTTTATTGTTCGTAAATCAAATACTTTTTTTACCGATGTCAAAGACTATTTCTATGAGGGAAGATACACCAGGTTATTGTATCTAGTCAAGATTCATCATAATATACTTATCACATTTTATCAAGTTACTTTCATATAAAGCTCTATTATCAAAACAAAATTGAATAATCGTTTAGTATTGTAGCTTTGATAGATTTATATATCTTCTACTATTTATAAGATATAATGCGTACAGACATGAAAGATAACACAGAGAATATAATATGAAAAATAGATCAAATATACAAGTAATACATAACATACATGCCTTGCGAATTGTTAATGAATGTCGAAAGCTGATATAGTGTTTGTAATCCTATGAAGTGTGTTGTTCAACAATAGACAAGAACAGACAACAAAAAAGTTATGAAAATAAATAATAGCAAGCAAGAAAAAAAAGGACTGTTATATTATTAATGTAGTGAGTAGAACGCAGATTTAGTTGATTCGAGGGGTTGATTTTACTGTTATAGAATCAGAGAAATGAAGAATGACTCGTGCCAGTATATCGATCGATCTAACCATTTTCAAACTATTTTTGTGTCAAAAAATTTTAATTATTTGTCGTCGACAAATTTATTATTGTTTAGACATACTAAAGATAGATTCATTGCTACACAGATACTTAAGAATAAGAAAAGGTCAAGTTTTTTCTTTCAATGGAAAAATATATTATTACTAAATGCCTTCAAAATCGTTTTCAGTTCTTGTATAATCATATTTCTTCAACCAATCAGTAATTAACGTTACGGTACTAGGAAAGATTGCATGAAGAAATACATTATTCTATTTTTGAAAATTTATGCTCAAGCTTCTTTCAATTTTTTAAAAATAAAACTATTCTTTGCTTGTGAATAAACTATTGAAAACATTTATATAATGTTATCCTGTTTGGTAAAATGATAAGTAGTTCCTTTGAAATATATCTTAATCATGAATCAATTATTGACATTTAGTACTGAATAACGAGAGAACATCCTCAGATGTTTTCTCCCGATTTCAATGATGTTTTATGCCTGTAAATACTATATAGTGCTCTAATAAAAAATCTAAAAACATTTGGGTTCCCATTGATATTTGACTAAGCTATCGAATTTCGAATATATCTATTTTCTAGAGAACCTCAGGCAAGGGAGAAAAAGAACACTGCTGTACTTCGGAAGTACGAAGAAGTACAGCAGTATGGAGAAGTATAAAGTATCGAGAAATATCGAGAAGTATCGAGAATGTTTCAAGGAAGATGAGACAGTTTTTGTTAGCTTAAAATATTTAATAAAAAGCAAAAATAAAGAGAATCGTGAGGAAATAAACAGCATCAACGTTAATACTTTCTACTGGTTTCAATGACACGAGAAAGTCGATCACTTGATAAACAACTGTGTGAATCAATTAAAAGCCAACATCCTGATTATTTATGTAAATATCGATAATTCTTATTCATTTTATCTTTGAAGTATGAACCTTTTAAATATGGGCGATTTTTATCTAAGCGTTTAATGCCAATAAATTTATGCTGACAAGCTCACAGTTTCGTCTTCGTCTTCGTCCTCCATCATCGATCATTCTATTACCAAACTCTGGTGATTTTTGATTATCTTTGTATTGATCTTCCATAATATTATCATAAATTTCTGCATCTAATTCCAAACCATATATGACAACGAAAGATTGATTATATTACTCTTTCATTTTTTGAGCAAAATAAATACACAGAACTATGTAAGAGCAAGTATGCATATGAAAATATATGAAGAAGTTCAAACAAGTATAGAGAAGTTTGATGAAGTAGGAAGAAGTACAAAAGTATACTTTTTCCCCCCTTGACTTTAGATTTTCGGAACACTCGTATTTTAATCTGAAGCTTTGCGCATATAGGCAATTTAATTAGACTAGCTTCCATAAAGAAATTTACAAGTTTTGAACAAAATCTTTTCGAGATATAGACTCTTTTCCATGGGTAGTTTATGCAACATACATTTTTTGCAAGCTTCATATCTCGATAAGATTTTATTCAAAACTTGTGAATTTTTTTATGGAAGCTAGTTTAGTTGAGTTTTCTACGTGCAAAAAGTTTCAAATCAAAATACGAGTTTTCTGAAAACCTGAGACCTCTAGAAAATAGACATATTAAAATTTCGATAGCTTAAGACGTCCCCCCTCAAAAATTGATCTCAGCCCAGGAACATTCAAATTGTATTAAATTTTCAAGGTATGCTCGGGCTATAGTGAAGAAACTATGATAAAATTTTCAGCTCTATACTATGATGTTGGAGCGAGATATTGACTAAACAAGGGTCAAAAATGGCTCATTTGGCAACCAAAATTTCTCTGTCCAAACTCATTCAATATATTTAATTTTTTTTTGTTTGAAAGAGCATGTCAGGATGCATAGAACCAGAGATCCCTTTTTTTTAAAGTTCTTACATTTTGAGTGAAGAAAGGGCATCACAAGTTCAATGACTCAAAAAACCCTCAAAAAATAGCGATCTAATTATATAAGTGTCTGCATATATAAAAAAAAAAACAAAGCTTAATTAAAAAAAAGGACTCTTTGGTGTCCTGCGTCTTGACACGCTCTTTCAAAAAATAATTTTATTATATAGGATGAGTCTAGACAGAGAAATTTGGGATGTACGGTCGAAAAAGCATAAACTGAGAAAAAACAGCTCATTTTTCGAGCAGGGAATGACAAAAATCTTCAAAAATTTTTGGAAAAAAGGAGGTGTCGAGTAAAAATTTTTGTCGTTTAAGAAAAATCAAATCACAAGTTATCTTTACATGCATTTATCTCAATTTTGAAATTTCTGACGAAAATTGACTTTTTTTCAGTGAGGGGAGATCTTAATCCAATGCCAATAGGAATCCAAATCGTTTTAAGATTTTTATTAGAACACTATGTAGTATCTATAGATAAAAACAATCATTGCAATTGGAAGAGAACATCTAAGGAGGTTCTCCCTCTTGTAAGATTAAAATGCACCATAGATGGATTTATTAAATAATTCACAATTTGATGGTCATTCAATTCTGATTAATTACAATACGAATTGAATTTCAAGACTTTAAAAAAATATTTATAAATATTTATATTCAATGGAAAGACAAAACAGTGAGACACAATACAATAAATTATTATAGTACAACAAAATAGAGATTCATACATCTTGATTAGCCACGTTAGTTGAATGTGATTTTGTTTCATTTTGATTTGTTTTTTGATTCAATAAAAAATATGTACGCATTAAACCTTTGCCTTTAATTTCGATTTCACCTCGTTCTTCAAATACATATTGTTCTCGATTTTTCAGTCGTTTATATGTATCATCACTTAAATGAATTCGTTCAGGTAAACCAGTCGATTCCATTCGATTAGCAACATTTACTGTATCACCAAACATACAATAACGAGGCATTTTCGATCCAATTACAGCAGCACATACAGGTCCTATAAAGCATATTAAATGAAATCATTTATATAACTGACAAGAAAGAGATTCTCCTTAAACGATTTTTTCTATTTTTTATTGTTTACAAAGACTTACATAACATTATCTCGTTTTGATATATCAGCTGTTAAATAGCTTTTATGTTATGACATGTAAAAGGTAGATTGCTTTTCTCAACAAATTCTGGTTTGTTGAAAGAAACATGATGGATTGAAATGAAGTAAATAGTGTTTATGTCAAAGTCAGAGACAAATAATAATAGCCAGTAGCCTGTATATACATATGGTTATTATTGAAGCTGAGGTAGCAGGCTTTTAGGTCATAATGGCAATCTGGATGAATAGGATGATATTGACGAGAAAAATACAATATACATCCAGATCTAGCAGTCAAAAACGAAAACTTTAAGAGTTTGATCTTATAATGTATAAATAGAATTAACTCCGAGTATAAATACAATCTTTAATCTTAAGTCTAAATAATCAACTAATTATAATCATCCTCAAAATATAACATATGAACTAACTTGGTTTTTTTTCCTGATAATATTAATTAAAGTAATTACCTGTATGAATTCCAATGCGTAGCCTAAGTTCAGCGGATGTACGCGGCACACGAACTTGTTGTTTACCTCGAAGTAAACTTAATGACATTTTGACAACCTCATTAGGATGCTTTAATAGACGAAACAATTGTATTCTTTAATTAGATAATTACTTTTTTTTTAGATATAAATATTTACTTTGTCACCATTTCTTACAGGCGCTCCAGAAACAACCATATAAGCATCTCCAATTGTTTCAACTTTATACACATCAAAATTTTCCAAAAGTGAATCAAATAAAGAATAAAGTTGATTCAACATATTACATGTTTCCTTTGGTGAACACATACTAGAAAAATAAATATTCAAAAAAAAAAAAAGAAAAAGAATTTCCTTTCATGAAAATCTTACCTTGCTATACTAGTAAATCCAACAATATCTGAAAAATATACTGTAACTGAATCAAAATATTCAGCTGGTGCTTTTCGTCCATTAATTAAATCTTTTGCTACACATGGTGGTAAAATTTGATGAAGTAATTTTTGTGTTAAACATTTTTCTTTTTCTAATTCATTTGTTTTATGTTCAAGTAAACGTGAATGACGTTTTGCACGAATATATAATATTAAAATACTATAACATAATGTTATTGTTATAAAAATAAATACAATTATAACTAATCCTTTCATAATACATATTTTGGGATAATGATAACATAAATTATTATAAATAGTTATCAATTTATAATTAGTTTTATTTGACATATTCTCATTTAAGTGAACGAAATCAAGAAAAATCATAAATATTAAAAGAAAAGCACTTGTAATTGTAATAAAAATTGCTATAATAACATGTTTCGTTTCAATACGAGGTGCTTTATGAAATTTTTCAGATAGTAAAGTAGATTTACCATTGGCTTTTTTAAGTGATGATCGTTGTCGTTTTTGTTTAAATGAACTACGCATCAGATAAAATTGACGAAATAATGGAAATGATGATGTTGATGAATATTCAGAATTAATCGATGAATTATTCATTCCATTACGACGAAAATTTGATCGATATCGGTGAAGACTAGAATTTGATATACTATTTCGTACTGTCCATTTTACACTATTTCGTGGTGGCATATTTAATGATGAAGGTACAGATTCATTCATTCCATCATGCTGTGGAATATGAGAAACATCACAAAGGAGACCGGAATTAATACTTTGAGAATCATCATAAGACATTTCAAATTTCTCAATTGTTTGTTGGACAACACTAGAAATTGTTTAATTAATAAGTAAGACAGTGCATTATGATACTAATATAACTATAAATATGTTTCTCTCATTTTATTTGTTTCTATTTTGCTATCGTTTTCTATCTTGTCAATAGATTGGATACTAAGTGTTTTTTTTTCTATGTATTTATTACTTCTTTTTTCTTTCTATCGTTATTTCTATTTATATGTATATATATAAGACCAATAAATGGTTCTAACTTAAGTAACATCTGTCTTTACATATTCAAAATACGATATGGTTCTTTGCCCATCAGCGGATCAGGAATAGGTCATGTGCATTAAAAAAACATTATATATATATATTTGTCTTAGTTGTCTCAATGTGAAAGAAAAAGTTTGAATGATATCATATGACAAATACAAATATCCTTTGGGTTTCTTCACTAATTTTTGCCTCCGGAGATTGATATCCATATGAATCAAAAAAAAGACAGCGAAGCTTATGTCTTCATGCATTATCAGTAAATGGTGGATGATGTGCATGACTTGATGGCGTTAAACGTCACTGCTTCTGATTAATGTAGAATTGCTCTAATAGAAAACTTCATTTTAGATGAAGGTCATATACTTGACTGTACTTTTGCTACTTTGCTTATATCTTGTTTCTTTTTTTTTCGTCCTTGTTCTGTCAAAAGAATAATATGATCTTATTCCAAGTATTTGTATTTATGCGCATTCTATTGCAAAATGGATTATTCGATCTAAAAAACATAGTCTAGCTTGTGTTTCTTTACTTTAATTTGATTTCATAGGAAAACATAATGATTGATGTCCTTAAGAGATAATATCAAATTTTATCTAATCTCATTATTAGAATGATAAAGATGTCTTCAGTCACTTTTTTTTTAAAAATTGTTGTCAATCGTCGGAAAATATTTTATGTAAAGAACAATTATTTCCAAGCTTATGCTTATTATTAATGTATGACAAACAGAATTTAAATGTTTAAAGTCGAAAAAAAATATGATAACTATTATCTCTATGAGAATATTACTGTTGATAAGAACGAGTAAGAAAAACAAAAGAAAAAGATGAGTTAGGAGGTCAACATGCAAGTGAACTATTCGCAAACATATAAATTTCGTCATTCATCGAGTGATTTAAACTATCTCTATTGTTTGATTAAAGAACTAGCAAACATATAGATATCTTTTATTCTATTCTTCTTTCGCGTGATGTTTTTTGTTTATCATAAGACAAGTTTATATCCATTACGTATGGTTTGAGGAAGGTATAGAGAGTAAAGGTAACAATTATTCGCACAGAAAAAAAAACAATGAATAAAAACTCTAATAATGCTCCAAAAGTAATCGATAAATATGTCATATTCTATGCGACGATTGTTTTTCTCATTATAGACATCGGCCTTTTCAATAAGTAATTATCACTATAATAATATAACTCAATCAATTAATAACGACGATGATTTTGGTTGCGTCAAAGTCGAGGTGAGAAGAAAATTCAGTCACGCATTGCGGAATTGGCTTGAATTAAATGAGGTTCGAATTGAACGAGCTATATAAAAAGAATAACAACAGAGAGATACATACCGATCCTTCTCTCTTTGATTAATGAAACAAAATTCTAAATATTGTTGATATTTTCATTCTTGTTTTTTATTTCATCCAGATCTCCGATCTTGATAATAGTTGTCCAAATTCAACAACACTCAGTTTGATGAGATGTAAAAAACAAGTACTTCATCCATTTCGTACTTTATTATGTTTGGTAAGCCAATTGAATATTTTTCGATATATAAATATATTCTCTTTCTTTCTCGTAAGATTGGTTGGAGACCATTTGGTGCGGATAGTTTAAAACGTTCTTCAATTTTAATGCGTATTCTTAATATTATCTATCCTCTTTTTATTTTAATATTACTATTATTTAATTACACATATGAAATTATCGTTTGTCAAGGAAAGTTGAATGTTGTTACAGATACCAAAGTAAGATTTTTGGTTTTTGTTTCTTATTAAATTAAATTGTTCTTTTTTTCAAATAGACTACAACAACAACAATTAGTACTACTACATTATCAGTACACCAAAATCATACTGTATTAAATTGGAGTTCGCTTATACCTCCAAAACCTATTCATAAAATTAATGTTACTGATGTACACCCACCCGTATGTGGTCATATATTTACTACTTATATAATACCTAATCTATTACATTTTGTTGCCTTTGTTATTGGTTTTATATATTTTCGTGTTACAGAAGGTGAACCAATGTATTCTCTTATGGAAAAAGTAAGAATAATAATCATATATTGAAATTTATTACATTTGTTTTGTTTTTTGTTTTTCTACTAAATAGGTTTTTATTCATGGTGATCAGAATATGCGACAATTTAGTCCAAATCGAGTTATTCGACGATTGAAGTAACTAATTTTGACAATATTCTTAATATTCACATTTGTGTTCTCTTTTCTTTTTCAATAGAATATTCTTGTTAATTGGAAGTATTTGGGTTCTTATGTCAGTTGGTACACATGCACTTTCTAATGCAATGAATGATTTTGCACATCCATTACTTTTTGATAAAAAAAATGAACTAAAAAGGTAAAATTACTATCTTGAAATTGAGAAATTTCATTATATTTTTTTTTTCTTTAGAAAATCTGTGAGATATACTTTATTTATTCTTGATATTGTATGCTTACTTATCTCAAATTGTATTCATTTGGCTGTTGTTATGAATTTTGTATCGCATTGTGAAATGGTTGTTTTCTATTGTAAATCAATTCGAACACGATTAGAAGAAAAATCAATACCTCTTCTTGAAGCTATGAAACAAATTGTTGATCTTCGCTCATCTATTAGCCAATTGAATGGTGCAGTTTCGCGAATGATGTCAATATTAGTTGTTTACTATCTCGAACGTACAATACTTGGTAAAATATTTTCTAGAAATTAAACGTTTTTTATCAGATTATTTTATTAAACTAAATAATAGATCGATTATTGCTCATTTTAAGATTCTTTTCTTAAAATATTCGTATAGCTTAGATCATTTAAAATTTATATGTTACTTTTCTTTTTTGTTAAGGTATTATTTTATTTCTGATGAATGAAATCAAGGAACCAATAATGTTTGCCTATCGAATTTTATATCCTATAGTTTGGTTTGCTATTCTTATACTTTGTCTTGCACAAGTAAATTTTTTTTGAAATTATATATTCGTAAGATTGTTTTTTCTTATGAAATTATTAGGCAGCACGAGTAACATCGAAATGTGATAAATTTCATCGTATTAGTCTTGCAATGCGTGTCTATGGTTATCATACAACAAGTTCTACTGAGCTTGATGGGTTTCTATTATTTCTTTCATCAGCAAAATTACATGCAAAATTATTTGGATTAACTGTTCGACCGGGTAAAATTATTTCCATACTCGTAACAACTATTATTGTATGTATTATTCTTCTTCAAACAAATATTATTCACAGTTCAAATTATTTTATTCTATAAAAGATGGTGTTTTTTTCTTTTTAAAAAAATTCAAATAAAACATGTCTTTTAAGAAAAAAAGATGATTTACTAGCATATCAATGAACAAAGATGACTTCGTTTAGAATCATTGTCTTTTTTAGTATGGTTATCATCGTAAATAATTTTTGTTGTTGTTGTCGTTTTATTGGGATATCTTTTGAGAAATTTCTCTGTATATAAACGATGAACAATTTCTGCTGCAACATAATCTGAACTATTTTCTTTAATTAATGATAAAATAAAGAAACCATCAGCTTCAAGATAATCATTAGTAAATGCAAGAATTTTTGATTGATCATTCATTTCATTTGTTAATGGATACTTTTTTGAATGAAGACGTTTATGAATGAAATTAAGACGATATTGTGGAGTAATGACATATAACCATAAGAAAAAATCACAAATATTTAGTGAAATAACAATAGCATACCAAAAGTAAAGAAATGTAAACATTTGTTGATTAAATAAATTGTGTGGTAAAACACATGGAACAGTATAATCATGAGAACGTTTTGGATGACCAAATTCACGAATAGTAAAATCACATAATGTTGTCTTTGGAAATAAACGTGATTCTGTATTCCAATGAATACCTAGATATATATTAAACAAATTATCTCTTATTACAAAAGAGGAATGTTTTATTTGTTTTTTTTTACCTCGAAAAAAACGATCAAGTACTTGTATACCATAAAAAGCAAAATTAGAACCTAACATTATACTTAAAAGAAGTATTTGAAATAAAGATACACCTATATACATTAATTTTGTTGTCATATATAAAACAACAAGATAATTTCCAAGATATTTTCCTGTTATACACCATCCAGTTATTAAAATTCGTTGAATTATATTTAAATGAGTATGTACTTCACTTTGTCGTCGATGATCACCACAATATTGATCAATACTATCAACAATATAATCTAGACACATTTGACGATGTGTTGCATCTGTTGTTGGTAATTTATAATCAAAAGATGATTCAACAAGATCAGATACTTGTATTCCACTTTTTAATCCAAATGTATTCCATGATATACGTGGTATATAGAATAAAAATGCTTTAACTAATAAAATAAATGGAACCCATTGATAATATAATATTTCACTTTCTCTTTTAACAGTAAGTGATTGTGGTGTTTTATCTGTATGTTCAACATAGTAAGTATTTTGAACAAAACATACCGATCGAACATATTCATCATAGTTTGGTGTAAAGAATGCTGGTACCTATTTGAAACAAAAAGAAAATAAATAATGTCAATTAAAAATAAGAGATGAAACATATTAAATGCAAAGAATTTTACCCAACACTTGATCTGATCTGTATAAAGACGGTTCATATTAATTATTGCAAAAACAACTAAAATTCCAACAGTATATCGATAGTTAAGCCGATCGGACGTACTATCATCATTTCGTTTGCCAAGTATCATAGACGAG